TCCAGGGAATTTTCCCGATCCAGGGATCGAACTCACACCTCCCGCACTGCAGGCAGATTCTTTACTGTTGAGCCTGGAAAGCCCCTTTAACTATATGTTTTTGTAGTGAACTACAACAGGAGTTGGAAGAAAAAAAAGTTGGGACCCTAAATCCCTACTTTACCCTTACAAACCTACTCAAAACATAAAGTAGTAATAAAAATAAACATAATCTACCTCCCCCACCACCTTTGAAAACTAAATGGGGTTATGGTAAATGGGCGGAGATCTTTTTGTTTAACTCAAAAATTAAAAAGCAGGAACAAACTATAAAATCTTTCAACTTCTACTGAAAAAGACAAATAATATACAATTAGTTACCCATTCCTATTTTAACATAACCTTTGTAATTTTAAAATGTATATTACATCTCTGAACTTTAAATTACTTTAACTTCTTTAGTAATAAAATACGGCAGCTTTTAATCATGACTAGAAATGTCATATGACATTGACTATATTATTAAAAACACAGTCAATTTACTTCTCTTTAAAAACAGACAAGACTCTTAAAGTAGACACGTTGGCAGCAGCATAATTTTACTGCATTCACCTCATGCAATAAATCTTTCAGTACCACATCAAAGTTGGCTTTCTCTCTTCCTTCAAAAGAAATTAAAATCTGCATGTGAATTACAGAGTTCAATCTCATTCATCAATGATAAACCATGGACTCTGAAAAATGTCATGTTCCTTCATACCAGTTTCATAGCTTCTGAATCATAATAGATATGCCTTTTGTCTGGGAATGAATACAGTAATAGGAAGATTCAAATAACCTTGAAAGTGTTGCTGTATTCTCTGTGTAAAATATCTCTATGGTATCTTGAAAGTATAAGTCGCTCAGTCGTGTCCAACTCTTTGCAACCCCTTTGGACAGTGTAGCCTGCCAGGCTCCTCTGTCCATGGAGTTTCCCAGACAATACTGGAGCAGATAGCCATTCCTTTCTCCAGGGGATCTTTCCGACCCAGAGATGGAACCCAGGTCTGCACTGCGGGCAGATTCTTTATCAAATGAGCCACCAGGGAAGTCCCTTTGATATCTTACTAGTCAACAAATCAACCTTAAATGCAAATGAATAAAATAATACTAATAATTCAGATTAATATCCTTGCAAGAATATTAACTACCTATTTTCCTCTTAGTGTATTCCTCAGCTTTTTGTTTTGGATGGAAAACACTTTCATTAACAGGTAACACTGAGGAGCCCCCTCCAAAGATGAAGGACTTTGCTCAAGGCCATAAATAAGCCAAAATGGAAATGGAACTTAGATACCAAATGTGAGTCATTTAACTTACATTCTAACAGCTTAAGGTATCTCTTTTCTTTTTTCACTAACTGCAATGAAAAACAAATATAAAATTTACCATCTCAGCCAATTTTAAATATATAGTTTAGTAGTGTTAGCTATATTCACCTTGTCATGTTAACAGCTTTATCTTTTAAATCTTTTAGTAGATTAATCTATTGTTAAACATATGACTTTGTAGAAATGTATCTTTCTAAATTTATTCAGTTAACTACAGAACAATTTTTTAAATTTCTAGAGTAAAGAGTCAGTTAAGCCATTTTGACTTAGAGTATCATAGTGTAAGTAAACAGGCCAGACTGAAGGGACTTCCAACTTCAGAAATCTGGCACAACTTGAGCACCAAAACATTTCACAGTAGTAATGGATTATAACTTACTGAATGAAGCATGGTTCCATGAGTTCATAAATAATAATACAAGGCTAACAAATGTAGAAGGAACGATGGAATTAGAAAAATCACCATTTTACATCACAGTAATCATTTCTCAGGGAAGACGCATCACCAGATAAGACCAGTGAGTGAAAGGCTGATGAGAAACAGAAGAGTTATAGTCTCAATGTATATTCCCATAAATTAGTTAAAAATCACAAAGGGAGGAGTAGTAATTTGACAGTGGAGAAACCTGGTGAATAACACTTTAGCCAAGTAATTAACACCACCAGCAATGGAATAAACCAACATTATGAGCCTCCTAGTATGATACACTGAGAACACACCACCTCTGTAATACTCCTGCCAGAAATACATAACCTGAAAGTATTCAGAGGAAACACCAGACAAACATAAATGGAGGACAGTCAACAAAATAGAAGGCCTGGAGCCTTCAAAAATATCAATATCATCAAAGCCAAAGAAAGGCTGAGGAGCCGTCTAACAAAGACTGAAGAGACATGAGAACTAAATGCAAGGCCTGACTCGACTATCCTAAACCAGAGTAAGAAATATGCTACAGAAGCAAACTGGTACTTATAGAAATGAATAAACCCCAAGGTCCTACTGCAGAGCATCAGAGAACTATAGTTAATATCCTGAGATAAACCATAATGGAAAAGAATATAAAAAAGAAAGTATCTATTTGTATAACTGAATCACTTCGCTATATAGCAGAAATTAACATAACACTGTAAATCAACTATACTTCAATTTAAAAAACAATTAAAAAATACTGCTACAAATCATTAACAAGACAACTGGTAATACATGAATTAATATCTGTAGATCAGATAATGCATAGTATTGTATCATTGTTAAACTTGCTGATTTTGCCAATTATACTGTGCCAAAGAATTGATGCTTTTGAACTGTGGTGTTGGAGAAGACTCTTTTGAGAATCCTTCAAACAGCAAGGAGATCCAACCAGTCCATCCTAAAGGAGATCAGTCCTGAATATTCATTGGAAGGATTGATGCTGAAGCTGAAACTCCAATACTTTGGCCACCTGATGTGAAGAACTGACTCACTGGAAAAGACCCTGATGCTGGGAAAGATTGAAGGTGTGAGGAGAAGGGGAGGACAGAGGATGAGATGGTTGAATGGCATCACTGACATGAGTTTGAGTAAACTCCAGGAGTTGATGATGGACAGGGAGGCCTGGCATGCTGCAGTCCATGGGGTTGCAAAGAGTCGGACATGACTGAGCAACTGAACTGAACCGAACTGTGGTTATGAAAGGTGCATACTCCTTGTTCATAGAAAATACACTAAAAGTTTTAGGAGTAAAGGGCATGTCTGCAATATAATCTCAAATGGTTCAGAAAAATAACAGGATGTATATATGAAGAGAAATAAAGCCAATGTGCCAAACTGTTAACAGCTGGTGAAATTCAACAAAGGGTTTTGAGATTTCTTTGTGCTATTCTTGAAACTTTTCTGAAATTTCTAAATTTTTAAAGCTAAATATGTATGTATATTTATGTATTCATTCTAGAAGTGTTTCCACTATTTTCCTATATCCTTGAAATTCAAATCTCTTAGATGTTCCCAATGACTTTGGAGGAGTAACTTTACTTAGCATGACTTTAAATTCTGAAAATGTCATAAAGGTCAAAGTCTTTCGCAAACCACAGTAAAGATTTGGAAATACTGTCCATGTATATTGGCAGACTGTGTTTATAGTGATTACTTAGTCACTCCATTTTTTTTTCTGTTGAAGTGAAGTCGCTCACTCGTGTCGGACTCTTTGTGACCCTGTGGACTGTAGCCCGCCAGCTCCATCCATGAGATCCTCCAGGCAAGAATACTGGAGTGGGTTGCCATTTCCTTCTCCAGGGTGGTCTTCCTGATCCAGGGATCGAACCCAGGTCTCCTGCATTGCAGGCAGACTCCTTACCATCTGAACTACCGGGGAAGTCAAATAACCGAGTTAATAACTATAAAATAACGGAGTCCTAAATGCCCCCTCCACAACTATTTCTCTTTGGCCAGACTTCTAACCTGTCCACAAAACTGCCTTCTCATTACTGTATACATTAAGAGTGTCACTCTGTTACCTGGAACTTTTTCCAAATCCATGACTTTAACTTGTTCATGTCTGGATCCCCTGAGGAAAATATCTGGAGAAAGACTGAAGGCTGACCTAAAGGATGTGGGTTTGAACTCTGTGTGTATGAGGGGGAGGGGGAAGGGAGGGTTGGTGTTTTTTTTTTTTTTAATGAAACAAAGAATACACAAGAAAAGGACCTACAGATATCTAGAAAAATTGCTAACTATGTGTCAAGGAGAAAGTCCCAGCAGGATATAAGAAAATATGCGTGCACAAGAAAGTTTCTGACCCAAGTTTAGCAATCTTGTCACTTAACCTAACTGTAAATTAGAAAACCTTCAGAATCTACAATATAAATTGTTACTTGACTTGTAACTGGTCAATCTCCAAATACTATTGTCCCATAGCGTTAGACAAAAACATATTTTCTATTAGTCTTTCTCAATAGAAAAATGTGGTAAACTCATATGAGTTGTAACTAATAAAGCATCAAAAACAGCGCTACCAATAGTTCCCCAGCTATTTAACCAACAATCTGCTAGATTAAAAAAAGCAAATTGGCCAAAGTTGTCAATACAATCACCTAAACTCACCACTGTCCCATATACCAGAGAGCAGACCAAGTTTCCAAAACCACATCGCCCCTCGCCCCCAGTACTTGACAGTGAGTGGATTCGAGCAGCCATAATGAGCCCAGGGAAAATGTTTAATTCTTTCAGAAACGTCACCTTCGAAGCTGAACTCAAGTTTTTAATTTTCTACAAGAAGGCATCATAGCGGCGACATTTTCCTCCCTCGGGTAGATTCCCCGGGGACGCAGATGCTCGCTCCCCGCCAAAGGTGGAAAACCTGGCGGCCCAGCAGTGCAAAAAGGAAAGCTGGAGGGCTTTCCTCCTGGAAAAGGGCTGCGAAGAGGACGCGGAGGAGGGGCAGCGGGAGCGCAGGTTCGGTACTTTGAGCTCTGACCTCGACCCCCAGCTGGCGACCCGGAAGGAGGCAAGGGCAGGCCCCAAAACTTTGAACCCGCGTCCCAGTTCAACCTGGGCCTGCCAGCGCGAGGACCAGCTAAGTCTGGGGACGGCAGTGACCTTCGCCCAGACCTTCACAGGAACAGCAGATTAAGGCCGGACCGTCACCGGGCTCGGCCCTCACCGGCCGGACTCACCGCCCGCCGGAGCTGTCCGGGAGCCACGGCTCGGAACATAGTCTCTGCACCGGTTCGCCTCACGGCAGCCGAGAGTGGACCGAGCTGCAACCTCTCCACGGGTCACCGTAAAGCTCGCGAGACGCGGTAACGAGAGCTGGCGCTCCAGGCGATCGGAGAGAGCGCGAGCTTAAGGTTTCTGCCCGCCGATTGGGCGGTCGCGCAACCAACGGGGAGGGCGGAAAGTTAGGGGCTGAACTTGGGAGTAGGACCAGAGCGGAACTGTGTTAAATAAGGAAAGGCAGGGGCAAAGCGGGGCAAGTGCTGGTGACTGTAGCTCAGACGGCCTGCTAGTCCCAGCGTGCAGCGCTGTTACACTGGACTGATGACGTCACTGTCCTGGCTTCCCAGCCCTCTCGACGAAGTCCACCGCTCAAGCTCTAATTATTCGTCTGCCTGTTCATTTGTTTACAGATACCAGTGCTAAGACCTGCAATATGCTAAACACATTTTTCAGGTCAGGGTAATACAATAAAAGGATGCATGAAAGGTTGACTTCACCAGACTCTGAAGGAAAACGTATCATTACTATTACGGAAGGAATGATTCCTGGAATTGGTGATGTTTGAGCTGAGTTCGAGGAGGAGGACAAACAGGGAGCCCAAACGAGGAAGGAACAGGACAGGAAGATTCCAGGACAAGGGGCAGGCTGCTGTGTGCTGCCTATAGAAGGAGGCAGATTGGGAAATGTCTTGAATTGGGGTGTAACATGCGGCCCCACCCAGGCCCTCTTCTCTCCCCACTCAGTCCAAACCACACCTTGGCTTCAAGCCCATGACTGCTAAATCTCTCCTGACCTTTGGATCCATTTATCCACTTGGCTACTGGGCAACTCCTCAGGATGTTTCTCAACACCTCAGAGCCACACATTCACAACTGACTGGGCATTCCCATCCAGGCTTCATTCTCCGCCTGTATTCTGTTTCTCAGGCAAAGCTTTCCATCTCCACCCAACGGCTCAAGCCAGAACCTGAGGGTCGCACTTGACTTGTTCCTTCCTTCATTTTCTATCCTATCAGTCACTAAATTCTAGCGATTCCACCCCCCAAACAGCTCCCAAATCCACCCAGGACTCTCTTCTCCCTCGTTTTGTGTTTACACTGCTTCAGTTGCTTATTTACTGTTCTCCCTGTTTCCAGTCTTCTCCATCCTTCAGTCCATCTCACACTGCAACCAAAGGGCACTTTCAAAAGGATAAACCGGTGATGGATTCCCCTGCTTAATACACTTCAGTGGCTCCCCATTGCTTTTAGAATAAAATGCAAACCCCTTAATGTGAGGTATAAGCTTTGTGTGAGCTGATCCCTTCTTCTTTTATTCCCTTTCCATCTTGCATGGCCATGCAGAACTTCCTTCACATCCTCCAATACCCTATTCCCTTCACCTCCCTACTCTCTTCCTCCTTCTTCTCCCCTTTATTCCTTCAACTGTTTAATATTAATACCTATTCATTCTTGATATTTCAACTTGGACTTTCCTCTCCCCCCCCACCACTGCCACGAGTAACTCTGAATTAAATCTCTCTTCCATGTGCCCCTATTTTCACCTATACTACTTCCCCTGTATACGGAGGCAGTTGTCACATGTCATATGGAGGCAGGTGAGACTGGTCTGTCTCACTCATCTGTCTGTAAGACCTGTAAAGGGAGAGTCTGTCCTACTTGTTTTTATTAATGTGTCTTCACACCTTGCACAGAGCCTGTCTTATAGGAGGCATTCAATCACTATTTGTTGGATGAATCAGCAAATCAATGAGTGGCTTGCTAAAGAGTCTGAACTTTAAGCAGGGGAGTGATACGTTCAGAAATTCTTAGTTCCCAATTTTGTAACAAACTACCTTTCCAGCCTTGTCGAGACTACCAATAAATCCCACTGGCTCTACCTTCAAAAGATGTACAAATTCCAACAAGTTCCACCAACATGTCTTCATTCCTCCACCACTGCTGCCTTCCCTCAGACCCCTATCGTCTCTCCTCTGGATCATGGCAGGAAACCCCTGACTGGTCTTTCTGTTTAAATCTGTGCCTCCTGAAGTCTCCTCTCCAAGCAGCAGACTAATCATGTCCTCTGCTCAAAGTCCCCCTCTCCACTGCCCCCTGTCACTATGCCCCCCTCCCACTCTGCCGCTCCTTGAACACCCCAAGCAGCTCCCATCTCTGACCTTTGCACTCCCATTGTTCCCTCTGGCTGCAATGCTCCTCACCGGGGAACACGTGTCTCTGTTTCTCACTTCATTCAGGTCTCTGTTCAATAGCCACATTTTCAAAAAGATTGACCTTGGCCACCCTACAGAAAACAGTCCTCCTCCCTCTGCACTCTCTGCCATCTCCTTTGACTTTTTCTGTTGACATTTATCACCACTTAATGGCTTACAAGTTTCTGTTCTTTTGTATTTCTTGCTAATCTCCTTGCATGGGATATAAATTCACTGGAGCAAGAACTTTGAGCCAACAAACATTTGCAGACCTCATACTTTGCTTATTCTTGCCTCGTCTGGACCTGGCAAGATTTTCCATCTGGCAGATTCCTTTGCCATCTTAAATATTCAGCTCATAGGCATTTCTTCTGTAAGGCCTTCCCCAAAGGTGAATGAACCCTTTCCTCTTCTTTACTCTCCTGGTTCTGTGACCATAACTTGAACATCAGTTACATCTACTTAGAACACGTCTGCGCCCACAGGGTGGGCTGGAGCTATGGACCCCCTCTAGGAGTCCGCATGTAGGAGGTGCCATTTAGTACTCCTTCTATCACTGCATTGCCTCCCAACCCAGTTTCCCAATTGGACAGTCCTATGGAAGTGGAAAGAAGAGGGCACAGTGCTTTAAGTAAAAACTGAAAGGAGTATTTTACTAAAAATGATGTGGAAAAATTGGCACACAATCCAACCTCCTTCCCTGCCTTCACACCCATGACAAAGCAAAACCCAAAAGAGAAGAGAGGCTTCCCCACCCCCATCCCACCTCCACCCTCACTGGGGCAGCTTGGGCACCACCCAGGCTCCAGTGAATCAGCAGCAGCTGTGCCCAGCAGAGGCACGCAATGTCCACGGGGACGAGGTGGTTCCTGGCAGAGCAGAGCCAAAACCAAGGAAAAGGCAGAAAACTGTCCAGGTCTGTGATAACTGACCAGAGCTGCTCATGAGCACACAAGAGACATCCCTTGGGACTTTGCGGGGGAGTGGTGGCCAGTTAGTTCTATGTTCACAAGCCAGACAGCAACCACCGAAAAACATGTGTACTACAACATCTCTCTTAGAGGACTTCCCCTGTAGATATCTGGGTGTCTGTCTTTCCCCCTCAGTTATGAGCTGCTTTTGTGACAAGCCCCAGCCAATGGGTTTTGTTATCTGGTTCATGTTTGCTGAGCGGTTGTAGACATGTTTGTTCAAAGAGAAAAGGGAGGAAGGGAAAGGTGAGAAGAGGGAGAAAGGAGTTGCCACAGTCAAACCCTGAAGTCTCCACAGTTAACCTCCAATCTCTTTGAAAAAACACCTCACCTCACCTCTTTCCTCCCCACAGGCCAGTTTCAGGAGCAGCTTCTCTAGGATTCCTGGTGAAAACTTAAAAGAGGAGCGTTCGTGGGAAGAATTACAGCCCGAGCTGCAGCAGCTCTCTGGGGGCCACACCTGGCACTCACTGTCTCCTTCCTCGTCAGCCATGCCAAGTTCCTCTGCCCTCAGCTGGCACCTCCGGGCTCAGTGGTCTGCCTGCTGATCCAAGCCCCTGACCACTGGCCCTGCTTAGCCCAGGGTAGTTGTATTTGTCCATTTATTGTCACGACTGGGCAAGAGAGCACTGAGAAGCACCCAAGTGGGTCACTCTTGGCCAGGATGATGACTCTGCCTCTAGCCTGCTGGTCCTTGCATACAAGGTGCCCAGAATGCCCAAGTGGCAACTGTAGCGATATACTTCAATGGAAGTAAATACTCTGGGAAGTGAATACTCTAAATACTCTGGGCTGTGAAGCCTGGAAGCCCAAGCTCCTCAAGAGCTCACAAGAGTGATGGTAAAGTAGGTCCCTCCTGCTTCCACCCCTTGTTTCCTGAACTCACATATTCTTCTTACAGAAGGCATAACACCATATAAAGTTCTGTGATTCAAGATGCACATCCAACATTAATACCAGCTATGGAAGCATAAATGGCCAAATAGCCGTACCGCTGGGACTACAGCCTGGATCTGATATAAAATCTTTTTCTTCCCTGAGCTAGCCACCTTTTGTCCATCTGACTGAGTTAGTGAGATGTCATTGATGTAATGGAGCAGTGTGATGTTTTGCACGGTGTCTAAGTGGTCTTGATCTCTTAGGATGTCTTACCATAGAAGCTGAAAGTTAACATGGCTCTGGAGTAAAGTTATAAATGTATAACATTGATGTTCCATGTGAATGCATACTGTTTCTGATCTACTTTCCTCATAGGTATAGAAAAGGACTTAGTCACCAAAGCGGTGTCCACATAAAGTGTACCTGAGGCTGTGTTCTTTTGCTCTAGCTAAGATGCCCCAACTGGTGTGGTGGCTGCAGGAGGACTACTCCTCAGGTGAGTTTGGGGTGGTCCACTGTCATCCTCTGGGTTTAGTCTGGTGTCTTCAGGGATAATATTGATGAACTGATTGGAAAAATGAGGAGAATCCTTTAGAGTCTTAAAGGTTGCTTCATTATATGCTGCCAAGGAAGCCCTCCAACTTTTACACAGGTTTTAAATTGACTATTAATCACTCCTAGTTTTTTATATTTTTTTCTAGGGCATCAGTAGAGCTTAGCAATTGCCACCCAATGCCATTGTCTCATAGTAACTATTTCCCCTGTTTCTCTCAAATGCCTAGCTTATTCCCTTCCACAAGCAAAGTATCCCAATTCACCACCATTGAACGCTGTAACAGCTGCACCACTACTTTATGCAAAGGGTTATCTGTATTCCAGCTACTGGCAGTGAGAGGGGCCTCAGAACTGGTCTAGCAAAGAGTAATACAGCTTTCTCAGACCACTCCACTTCCAAT